AAGATGTACGTTTCACTATTAGGAAATTAGCAGGGCTAACTTGGTATTTAACGTGTAAACCTTGTGGTGACGTTTTATTGCGGAATTCAGGGGAAGAGGCAAACTTTTCTGCCATAGCCTGAATGCATTAATTTACAGCTCTGTACGTCCTGAAATGATTTAATGTTCTGACAGTTGTATGAAAGAGTTATCTACATGTATAGGGTCAAGAAAATTAAGGCTGGAAATGTTACAAAATGCAACAAAGGTACCTAGGAACTCTACAATTAAACAAGCACAGCAAAGGGTGTCTAATGGATAAAACATGGTTTTATGACATATGAGTTGCACAATTATGTTTTCAGGTGAAATCATGATCTAGTGAATGTGACCTACTACATATTAAAAGCAGCTTTTGGATTACTACATTTCCTTTGGGAATATCTGAAGTTAACCACCTGAGGAGCTCTACATTTTCTGTTGTCACAAAAAACATCTTATTGACCCAATAAGAGCTAAATGATGATGTCTGATAATCTATATGCACACGACACAAAAGTCAAAAGCATAACAATAATATAAATAGTACGGCTTTCACTGTATATTTTGCATTACACTGTTCCCTCTGTATATATATTGTTCTTGGAAATTAAAACACACCATGATATACAAATGGCATTGATGGCTGAATGGATTGCATAATGAGGCTCGAAAGCAAATGGCAGTCAACAAAATTAGCATTTTAGCAGAGGCAGCCCTATTAAAATTAGCATTCATAAGAGGTGGTGCAGCCAACCATCAAGGTACACAATAGCATCATGCAAACCCAATGAATCATTTTTCATCCTATTTTTTCTTTTACAGAAAGGAAAACCTCTTGCCTCCCCTTTGTTGCCATAGCTTCACCACACTGAGAAGAGGCCTTTTTCTTGAACACCCTTTTAACTATATCGACTCTATGGCTTCAAAGCATAGTCCAGAATTTGTCCAGTAGCTACACAGGAAGCACAGTTTAGAACTGGGGCACATTAATTCCGCATACTAAAAGATGTACTCTTTAGCATTAAAGATGCCATGCAGATTAACGTTTGCCCTTATTCTGGGCCAAGTTACAACTCTCTTGGGTTTCGACATGGATGCAAAGTAGCAATACACAGAGTCAAAGACTGCACAGTGCCTAACAGTTTCATGCTACATAGGGCAGACTGTCACTCAACTAAAAATAAGGGGGAAAATGGCAAAAGAGAATTTAAATATTAGCTAATATAGTTCTGTCAATCCCATGTCCCTGTTTCCCTTCCCAAACCAATGTTTATTTTTCATTTCAAAACTCATGCACTGACATTATCAATCGGGAATTGCAACTAACAAAAAATCCTTTGCTCATGACCTCAGGACACTGAATTAGTATAAAAGAGCATTCAATCATCTTAAATAAATATAATCTACATCCTGAATTACAGCACATTCAAGGGATAAATACTGCCATAATTACAACAGCATGATTTACTCTCCATACTGTTTTTGATCAATTTTGGTCTAATCTGGAATATAAAAAGAAGGTGGGGATCAGAACCTTCATCTCAAATGCTTTGCAGAACATTCTTCCCAAATTCATTTACAGTACTGAAACAATTAAAAAGACATTACAGTATTTTTCTCCCAGCTGCTTATGTCTGTAGCTTTAGCTACTATAATACACTTTGTATATCTCAAAACTACACATAAAATATCAAAGATCACCAAATAAATAAAAGAAAATGAAAACTGGAACAGTACTGCCTTTTACACTTGAGACACGATTCCTCGCTCCCATCAAGAATTCAGAGAGGACTGGGATAACTGCTTTTTGTTTTTTTAAAAACAAAGATTTATACACAGGTTCAGACCCTGAAATTAAGTTTAAATGAAAAAAAAATCAACAGGCTTAGCTAAGTGAGAATGGGTTCAGTCAAGAAGGATACAACATAATCATAATAAACAAAACAGAAAAGCATAATATTTTGGTTTGCTTGAGAGAGACATAAGGTGCAACAATTTCTTTTATAGAGGCATTTGTGGACATGTGTAAATGGGAGAGAATATTTGCTGGTATGCTGAATTACACACCACAGCAATATTATTTTCCAAAATAAATGAAACAGAAAATAATAGAAATTATAAAAACAAAAAACAAACCCAATACAGTAAAAAATGTTGGTCTGAAGTTTTCTTGTGCTAACAAATTTTGTTACCTGAAAATACTGATACCCCTTCTAGTAGATTCAGGGAAAATTCTTGCTACTGAAATCAAGACATTTCTCGAAGAGCCAACACAGGCAAATGCCTACTGAACTATAAAGCTTTGCAGGATTTCTGCTACTCTCAGTGCCTAATCGCTTAAAAATTAAGCATATCTACAAAAAGGTTTATAAGTATCTGAAAACAGTCATATCCAGTAAATTGACCCAAACTCACCCCCTCTCTAAGGAAAAGATCAAGATCAAGTAAGATATTGAATCACATAGAAAAAAGTAATGTTTTTTTGTTTCTTTTAAAAAGGTACCATTAATATACAGAAGTATCTTAAGAAACAATACTGAAATTTAAATTGAAGAATGATGGGGTGCTGTGGCAAAAAAATATATCTATTCTAGTGGGTTTTAGAGAAATAAGTTAGTACCATTGTCAAGGTGAATAGCCTGAACCATAAAATATTTGGATTTCAGCTAATTATAATTCATAAAGTGGTCCAAAATTCTTAACAGCCACCTCACTGTGACCCAACAGTTTTAAATGTTGACAGTTTTTCTGTCTAGTTAAAATAATTTAGAAAAGGTTAATAAAATTTTATTAAAAATATTGCCATATGCTACAATGGCACAATTGGGAGCTTTTTACCAGTCTTATTTCTACCTGAATTTTAAAAAGCCTTTTATAATGCACCTATTACTATTAAACTTTATTTCTTTTTACTTCCCTTCCTCCAGTACATGCATCTTCGAGGGTGCTATTTTACATGTATTTTAATCACATTTCTCAAGCTACCTACTTTTGATCAACACTTTCATCATTTGTTACAACGTGTGTGGTATGTTGTATAGCAGGGGTTTTCAAACTCTGGGGCATGGCTTGTAAGGGAAGCCACTGGTTGGCTGAGAGATGCTTTGTTTACCTGCACCTCCACAGGTACGGACGATCGCAGCACCCACTGGCCAGGAACGGTGATCCATAGCCAATGGGAGATGTAATCACTCCTATCTGTGGAGGCACAGGTAAACAAAGTGTTTGGTGTCCAGCAAGTGGCTTGTCCTTACAAGCTACCACCAAAGTTTGAAACTCCGTGTTGTATATAGCATTTCCCAACATTGAAACTGAAGAATTGCACTTCTCTATGGCAACAAAAGGCTAAAATCTAGCAACTATTAATAGAGTTACTTTCCATATGGCTATTACATCAAATTAGAATTACAAATACCCCCCCCCCCCCGAAACACATCAATTCAGTCAAGTATAAATAAGAATGCCTGATAGAACCATGTAAACTCTCATTATTTAAAGACTTAATTAAAAGAGCTTCAAACTCAACCTAATACTATCAAAACTTCAGCCAGTATGAAGAAGACTAATAGAAAATTATTGCTGGGATCCAATCTGGTAAATCTTTGTGCTATGGTGCAAAAAAAGTAGGGAAACACCTTGTGCTACGGAAGAAGTACCCTGTTGAATTTGTAGCTTTAGATTTATTTCTAGTAATCATTTTGCATCTGTTGGTAGGAAACAACCGCCTGGCTTATACAATATTTTAAGTCAATATAGTGAAGATATAATCCAAGTGATACACTTGGTGCTGGCTTCTGGGATGTATTTATGAGAGCATAATACATAAAGAAAACAAAAGTAAGGACAGGAACTGGCAGATGGATCTCTGCTGGATAGCCTAACTTTAGTCAAACATTATTCTTCAATCATGGTTTACCTGCAAACAACTTATTACTTTACCAAAACAAACTATAACTGGCTCTTTTTTATACAACCTACAAAGCCAAGTTAGACTGCGCATAGTAATTACAACAATTCCAGTGTCTGTAAAATGCAAAAGGTAGGTATATCAGTGTGCATGTATATTGAAGTCATGTCTTCAAGGTTTTCAGAATAGTGAAGTAATACTAAGGTCACTTCTGAACAATGTCATTTGTAGTACTGTTTTTGTTTATATGAGCATTTCACTCAGTCATTTAGACATCTATGCAAAATAACGGAACCCTCCAATGCATGAAAGACAAATCAATAATCTTCAGTGTTATTCTTTCCCATATGCCACTCCTTTTTCTAATGCAAACCATTCTGGTTATTCAATGCTAAATTAAAACAAACAAACAAACAAACAAAATCAAACACAGCCTGTCAGAATTTTTGCCAGTAAACTCTACCACTGTGGTGGCAAATATAAAAGTGCAGAACATCCGGACCACATGGTTGAGCAAACACCACTAACAATGGTACATCTGTCCATGCTGCCTTGAGTTCTCCATAACAGGTTTTTTTTTTAATTCCTTCTACAATATAAATGTAGGCATAACCTATTATATAAACCATCTTAGAACTTAAATCTTCATGTACAAAAATGACTAAGAATATCTAATAACTAGTGCAGTGCGTCAGTGTTTTTTTTTTTTTTTTTTTGTATTTTTGTTTAGAATAACTAGGTATTATATGAAACTAGTTTCCATACCCTCTGGTTGGTAAAAGAGATGCTGTGTGAGCTACTGTAGAGGCAGCCTTTTTCACACACCTGTTCACTGTTTAAAAGCCTTCAATAGAAAGCAAGCTCCAGGATCATTCCATTTCTTTGTATTATTGGACAAATGACTCCACCCTCTTAGATTCTGGGTTCCAACTGGAGGAGACGTGGCCCAAGTTGCTAACTTCTGGCTTCAAGTGAAAACTGGGCCACTAACAGCAATAAGCACTTGTTTGCAGTCTATATTTTCCGTCGTATGGACTGACTAGCTTCCCTTGGTAAAGACAAGGCTAGGATATTAGGTAAAGCACAATGTTTTACAAGAAGATGGAGCTTCACTGGTCAGCGCAGGATATCAGCACTGGAGCCTGAGACATTTCTTTTGGCTGTCCATCACGTGGGAGAGGCGCTGCCCTCTGACTTCTGGAAAACACAAAACAAAACCAGAGAAAAACACCCATAATTATATGCTGAATATAATTTTTAAAACTAGAAAGGATGAAATGCCTGGATGGAGTTATTTAATTGTCTTATTCTAGAGCATCATAAATTGCTGCTGATGTCGCACTAATATATTATCTACATTGTGGCATGCTACTAGGATAGGAGTGGGGAGTAATTTTTAAAAGGGGGCCACTTCACAAATTTCTGAAGTGACCCTGGGATACCCCACAGAAGGGGCAGGGTGGGGCCAAGAGGCTTCTCTTCCCCACAGACCCTGATTGGCCTGGAGGTGGAGAAGCATGTGAAGTTTTTGCTCCCCCCACCTCCGGCGCCTAGAGAGAATCGCCAGCTATTTTAAAACAGCTGGCAGTTTTCCTCTAGGCGCTGGGACAGGAGGAGATTTCATATACTCCCCTTGCCCCAGGCCAACCAGTCCTTCAACCCCTGCCTCCAAGTGCCTCTGGCGGGGGGAAAGGGGACTGTGCGCTCCCCTGCCCCCAGGTCTCAATCGGCCTGAGGGCGGGGGAGTGGCAGGGTGACCGCGGGCTGGGTCTACTGGCTTGGCAGGCCAGATCTGGCCCATGGAAGCACTCTTGCCCATCTCTATACTAGGACATAGTCACGGAAAATGCTCTCTGAATAGACTGCAAGCCAATGGGACATCTGATTAGGCCACAGAAGCACAACAGAAAATACACAGCTAAATGATAAATTACAGGCACACAAGCGTTGCTGTTCATATTGTGACACAGCTGGAGACCTGAGAAACAAAAGATTATTGTATACTTGTTCTTTTAACTCTTATGCTGCCACCGTGGAGGGAGAGAGGAAAGGTCTCTGCCTTCACAAAGAGCATAACTGTTGCACGTGGTGGAAAAGCCTGGTTAAACTGGCTGCTCTTCTCAATGACAGTAAAGAATGTTCATATTTCTTGCAAGCAAAAACCACTTGGATGCCCTCTGCACGGTGTGTGCTTCTGCACTGTAAAGCACAACTGTGAGGGAATAAATGCCACACCTCCCCCACTCCCTTCTCAGCAAGTCGACGTTGCGCAATATGGTTCTTTTGGGATGCGTCTAGACTGCTTTCCTCTTCCAAAAGAAGAAATGCAAATGAGGAAAATGCAAATGCAAATGAAGTGCTGATTAGCATGTTTGCACGCTTCATTTGCATATCCTCTTTCCATTTTTTTTTTGGAAAGAATTTTTTTCAAAAAAAAAAAAAAGCAGGCTAAAACCCTTCT